GACAACAAGTTATATCAAGTAAACATCAAACTGATTCGTAACATGGTTTGCAGTCAAACACGAGTTAGTAAGTGTGAACAATTTAAGATGAAGAGGATCTCAGATATTAGATAAGATAGAGATATGAGAGAATGATCTTTGTATTTCAGTGAAAGTTCAAAGGATCGTGAAAGAGATGTGTGATTACATGATGAAGGGAGTCTCTATTTATAGAGTCCAATAACGTTACATCTGAAATAAAAAACTAATATTCTACTGACTTAAGTGACCATGCAAGGTTCACTGGATAAAGTAATGCTAATACGCTAAGTCAGTTAACAAAAGGTCTTCATCAATCTTCACTATGGTAGTGATTGCGGATCACTACGGTTCTCAAACCAACTTCTTTAGCTTTAACTACGGTAGACACACTTCAATTATGGTAGCCATTCCAACTGCGGTAAACAAGACTGCGGATCCTTAAAGTTAAAGAAGGTCACTTTATGCATCAACACTCACATTACTTAAGAGTTCCACAAAGCACAAAGCAAGCAACATTCATGCAGTAGCACTCCAATCCATATAATAACCAAAGAACATTCAAACTCATATATTACCACTCATGATAGGAACTTCCACTCCCACTGCCGGTTGCCTTGTGCATGCAAATTATACACAAGACATGATCAAATAGAATGTAGAATAAAAGACTCTACCCTAGGACCAAAACCAAACGAGGAACAGGAAATGAGGCCAAATCAATCATTCTAGGGTTATATGATCCTAACCGTATACAATTTTTAAAGCATACACTTAGAAAATCCTGATACCAATACACATTCCCAATCTAGCATAGCATCCAATGCTTCCTAGGCTACAAGGAATCACATATCAGGCCAATTAATCAAGTAATTCCTGAAAGTATCCCTAGCCTTATCCTAACATGCAAACATTCATATCATATACCATATCAACATATATGGGTATTTTAGTACTCACTTACTTGAGCTCGGTCGATTGCACGCACCACACCCCTATTCTTTTATTAGAAAATCATTTAATAAAACTTTTTATTTTATAAAAATTTACCAAACCGTCAGTTTGAGTCCAGACACACCCAAGAGTATGCTCGAATCCCTCAAACCAAGGCTCTGATACCAACTTGTAACGTCCTGAAAATCAAGAGGTTAAATATGTATTTTTATTCAACCAAAACACTAATTATCTTTACAAAAACATTCAAAGTAAGAGATTTATCATAGTACAATCCCAAAATCGACATGTTGCGGAAACGTGGGTGGATGCGCTGCGATCAAGTTGGGCCCTTCCCTATTAAACCGGAAACACCTGAAACCAAAAACTGAAAACTGTAAGCACGAAGCTTAGTGAGTTCCCCAAAATACCACATACCATACATATAAAACATATAGTGGGCCCTGCCCTAACTCACATAACGGGCCCGCCCACTGAGTATAATGGGCCTCGCCCTAACTCGCATAACCGGCCTCGCCCTAACTCGCATAACGGGCCCCGCCTACTGAGTATAACGAGCCTCTCCCTAACTCATATAACCATACAGAATAACCATCGAACCCCGCCCAGTAAGCATACAAGCGCATACACATGCAAGAGTCACACAGACATCTAACATCCTAACATAACAAACCATGGGCCTGCATTGGTGCCTTCGACCCGCTAAACGTGGTGAGGAAACTCACCTCAAGCCGATGAATCTGCCAATAAATTCTCAGTCTGCTGATCTGGAACTCCCTGTGCGCTAGCACCATCAAATAATTATCTAATTAATAATTGGATCTTCACCTAAAACAAGAATCAAAGCCACTTAATCCCTAACCAGGGTAAAAGACCATTTTACCCTTTCCTTACTTGGCCCAAAACCTAGGCCCAACCTATTTTCTCCAAAAGCCCAATTTCCTAAATGGCAACCCAAGGCCCAATATGGCCTAATTTGCTAATTGGGCCCAAAAACTATCATAGGACCAATACCAAGAAGGCCCACAGTCAATCCACGGCCCAAAGTCAAAAGTCTAATGGCCCAACAATGCCCAATCCCTAAAAAGCCCAAAATATCCATCCTGGGGAGTACGCCCTACGTACTTCAAACGTACACTCCGTGTACTCAGCCACGAAGCACAATGTACAAGTTCTCGATGCATCGTCCAAGTACTACGCTGAGCATACTCCTACGTACGCCCATCGTACTCATCAGAGGACAAAACTCACCGTTAAGCTCTTATTGGGTTAATTCAAGTTGTCCAAACTCTTATCTTAACCCTAAATGACGTCTTAAACCATAATGTCGAAACCTTTAAGCCTTTGCATCGCTAAAGAGGGCTAAATCTTCAAAATCTTTACTTTCACAACACTCAAAACTACTTAACTCTTGCATGGTTCTAAGGAAACAATTAAGCAAACATTTTTATGATTAATAATTGCTCCGTAATGGATAAAGTTTCCAACTTTATCCATTAGAATGGTCCCAACAAACAAGATCTAGTCTTTAAGTCTCAAAGGGACCCAAAAGTGCATATTTTTTCAATTTAATCCATTAAGTCCAAGTCTCCAACCTTCATATCTGAATCAAAATGATGTTTAGATGGATAAAGTTGCCAACTTTATCCATAACAAGGTCACAAAATTTCAAGATCTAAACTTTATGCACTTAAAGTGACCCAAAGCTCATAACACTCAAAGCTAACTAGATCTAATAATATCATCATCAAGATTCAAACGTTATACCTCTAGAAGAAAGATCACGGTGAACAAAGTCTGGATCTACAAGCTCAAATGTAACCAACACTTCTTCCATGAGTTCCTTCTTCTCCAAGGTGCACCAAGAACACTCCAAAGCACTTAAAAATAACTTCTTTTTGCTCACAAGGCTCAATCGAGGATTAGGGTTTCAAGAGATGGTGTTGGAGAGGTGGAGGCTGAAATGGAGTGGGTTTAGGGAAGTTAAGGAGCTTAAATAGGGTTCAAACCACATAAATAGGGTTTGGGCACTGATTGTGTACGCCCTGCATACTCAATTTACGCCCAACGTATTAGGGATGCCCTAGTACGCCGTGCTTCCTCCTTCATAAGCACAAGAACTAGGGTTTGCAAGGAACGTTTCTGGGAGATGGAGGCTGATGGGAGGAAGGTCTCAAAGGAGTTAAGTCCTTTATATAGGGCTCAAACCCAAAAAAAAATTGGGTTGTGCACTACGGCAGTATGCGTTGCGTACTGCTATAAGTCCTCGCATCCATTTTAATGAGTTCCAACTTATGCCCTGCGTAAGGACCAAAATGTCAACATTTTAAACTTTGAGCCATAAATGAAAATACCTGAAAAATGAGTGTTACATTTTGACTCTGATTTATCTTTGAAAAAATGTTTTGAGACAAATTCTACATTATTATATTCTTTAAAAGGATACTTTGTTTTAAATAAACGCATAAAAAAAAGTTTTATTTGACCGTAAAAATTATGGATGTCACAGTCTAATACCGAACGAATTGACCGCAACCAAATTAACCAAAACCGATTAAACCGAACCTTATTTGGTTTAGTTATGATTAGTTTTAAGATGTAAAAAACGAAAAAACTTAACCGTTTAAAGTACAAACCGAAAAACAGACCAAATAACACCCATATCATCAATAATACACATAAACAAATCTTTGCTCATCTAAAACCTTCTATGGAATGTCTCCTCACTAAAGGTTGCATTATTTGCAAATTAATGTTGCATCAACAATTTTTTTTGTTGTCTTTTCATGATCTTTGTGTAATTTTAGATAATGCACAGAAAATATAAGAAGATTAGTTTCATGATCGTCCGATGAAGATGCATAATATGGATTTTCTTTTGTAACGTATTTCTTGATGAATGGATTCCTTATTTTTGAAAGAATTGAATGAAATTGGAGATTGTTGGAAAGAATTGGAGTGAATTTGTGTTTTTTAGAGTAGATGATTATTGTTTATATAGTTGAATATATAAAAATCTTTGAACGGTAACAAGGAGGAGGGAGCGATAAAGAATTCATGCGGTTTACTCAACCGGTTCGAAGCACCCTTTTGGTGGTATCGTGCGGCCTCGTGACAGTGTAGCCGGCGGTACCGCCCGGAACCAGCTTCAAAAAAATTTCTGACTCCATCGAAACCTAAAGTAACAAAGATATACAAATCGGCTCAAAGAAGCTAAAAGGCTACTTAAAATATCTTACATAGCCCTTGCAAGTCGAAATCTTGATTCTACATATTAGTTTTAAAGAATTCAAACTGTGTTACCTTTTAAATATCGTATTAACTACACTATGATTCAATTTATTGAAATATATGATATATTGGATAAAATTAGAACGAGTATTCCATTGTTCATAAAATGTGCTCAAATCAATGTTAGTTAATATTTTTAAAACTCAAAGTTACACCAGAGCCATAAAACCCTAGCTTAAATTGGAGCGACTCTTAAACAATTTTCTTTTAACTGGTCCATAAATATCTCTTGAATTTTTTACGTTTAGTTACGTTCTCAAAGATTGGATCTGATCGAGGTTCATTCAGTCGTCAACAATTTCAAAGTAACCCTTAAAATATTTGAGTTAAATAAAACTTTTCTTCACATGTACTTAACGTTGTTTCATAGGATAAGATAAAGCTGAATAATAAAAATTAAAAAATAGTCAGGACTTAAAAGTTTGATGTGGTCTGTCATCATTTTGTTCTTCATACAAGTGGGGTCCATTTTTGCATGAAAATTAACTTCTTTTACCCTCTACCTCTCCCTCTCAACTTTGTTAAGTCTTTTCTTCAGATCCCATCATATTTAACCGTCGATATATAGAGAGAGAGAGAGAAACACTCACACTCACTCTGAGTATATCAGTGTTAGAGAGATGATAAGGGTATAAAAAAACAATCGCCGGCGAATATAGAACACAAACATCACCGGAGAAAAGGGTTTGGATAGTGGAATCAGTTGCTCAATTACTTTATGTGGGTTCTCAACGACCATGTCATTTTCCGGCAGAAGGAGGAGATCAGCGGTGTACTCTTCAATGGTGGTCTTGCTGGTCATCTTCTTGGTACTTCAGATATGGGCGTTGAATAGCGATTGTTGTAGGGTTAGTGCAATAAGAACGTCACTATCACCACCATCACAACTACCACCGCCGCCACCACCACCACCACCATCATCACAATCCTCATCTGCAAAAGATTCCGACGAGATCAAACGATCGGAGCTTTACAGAAGGTTCTTCAATGGCAGATTTGCTCGTCTCAACTCCACCACTGTTTCAAAAGATAAAAGCTTTCAAGAAAACAAAAGAAGAGTTCCCAGTTGTCCAGATCCTCTTCACAACTAAAAACCCTTGCATCTCTTAGGTTACCTTCAAGCTCTTTCTTTCTTTCTTTCTTTCCCTATGTTTTTCTTATAATTTATTTTGGTAGTTAGTAAAATATCCAAAATACCCACGTTTTTCCCACTATTTTCGTGACATTATATGGATGAATTTCGTTATATTAGGGGCTAAACCGTGGGTATTTTGGTATTGTGTAAGGCAAAATGCTTCCTTTTTTGTTTGGTAGATCAAGAACAATGGCCGATCATGATGTATATACTATTTGAGATTTGAAATTCATATAGTTCAACACCTCTTCTCACTTCTGCTTTGCTTCGATCTTGATTATTTATTTATATTTTGGTTTTTAGCTGGCTGATGGCTCCTTCGTTTTTGACAGTTTGTACACATAACATAGCCCACCTCAAAAACAAAAAACACTCAATCATGGTTGATTAAATTTGACAAGATTTGTCATCAAAATCAGTCCCCACCATGTCCCTTCTGAGCTCAAAATCCTCCATGATTACATGATGAGCAACACCATTAATTGCCAGATTTGTGCATAACTATTCTTTCTAACTCCAATGATCATCAAATTCAATGTAAGATTTATACATATAGGATTCTTGGAAAAAGATTGTGTAGGTCAAAAGATTAAACTATGGCTTCTCTTTTAGATGTTAAAAATAAAATAAACAAGAAAAATATGTAAAGCTTGCATAAAGTGTTTTCGGAAGGTTTCATGATTGTTGTAGCAGAAAAGTAAGAAAACAAAAATAGTAGTAATTGTGGGTGTTTTTGGTTTTGGGATGTTTCTTTTCCGACAGATGTTAAAGGGTACCTTTATTTTACCCCAAAAGGTCAAAATATGACACTTTCATTTGTCTTTTCTTGTACCCAAAAATCTTTTAATCCAATCTCTACAACATCCCCATGTGAACTCATCTGTATCTTCTTCATTTCCCATAAGCTATTATATATACTATCTTCCTCTTCAATAAAATCTACAAAAATCAAGGATTAAGATGGAAATAATGAGCATGTTGTAATGAACTAATTATTATTAACAAATACATATAGGTGAGGATTAAATGCGATTAGTTGATACATAGAAAAAAAACATTAGTTGTACATAATCTTGACAAGGGTCTTTCTAATAAACTGACAAACTAACATTTTTATCTGACTCAAAAGACAAAAGATCACAGATTTTACAAGACATAACTGCAACCTATAATTCGTACCTGAATCTTCTTTTTAATACATCTATATAAAATAATTTGCGTATTTTCTTTTATTACAAAAGTGTATTCTACATGTGTTGTTTAGGTATCATATATGGATAAAGATTGATTTGACTATGGTTGACCTTTGTAAATGTAGTAGATTTAGGATGCCTGAATGGTGGAGTTCAGAAAAGCGAATTGCCATTTGGGTGAAAATGTAGATTCTAAGTATCAATGCCTTGAAAGGAGGATACACGCCTTGGAAGAGGGGATCAATGCTTTTGACTCCCCAACACACTGCCTATTACACAAAATATATACTCATCATTTCATATATAAATTCCATTCTAATACTCAATCTATCTCAGCAATTGTTTATTAAAAATATTATTACGAAAGGTGAGAGATATTCATATAGGAAGTGATTTATGTTATTTATTTATTTAAAAAGTGTTTTAGCTTTTATACAACTAAAGAAGGAATTGTATAAAGTCAAAACAATTTTTTTTTCAATAAATAAACATAAATAAAAATATCACCTCCCAATTCATATGGCTACAATGCATATAGTATACAATCATGTTGGAAAAAAAGTTGTATTCTTGGCTTTGATTCTCGTTTTTTATTTAATCCTTATTAATTTAAGTGTACATTAAAAAAGTATAGTGTAGTATTTTATCTAAAAGGCTATTATGAATATTTAAGTGTAAATTACATCTAAAAAAATGTTCAAACCTCATTTCTTTTACCATTAGAAATGTTATTAAAATCTGGCGAAATTAACTAATCTAACTGTAATATGTGTTTGAAGAAAATAACCGTACAAATTGTTTTTAGAAAAATAACCACCAAGTCCGGAATGGAGGATTCTGAACAGAGGAAAACTATTTTTTCTGACAAAAAAAGAAAATTTCGGACTAATATTTTGGATTTGAGACTAAAATCTCGAAGTTCGGAAAAAAAAACACAGTAGTTTCAAGAAAAATTTGAAATCTGATGAACAATTACATAATTTCTGGAGAGAAAAAAAATTGTTTTCTACTAAAATTTGTTTAAATCAAACATTTGATTGAAAAACGGTAATATTAGAGAATTCAAAATAGACATTTCGTATATAGGTAAAAGTGATTTCTTTGAAAAAGTATCAGAAAGGAGGAAGAATTCTTGAATTTGAAGAACGTCCGGAATGAGGACATTCGGAAGAAAATGATTATTTTTTTAAAACTAAAAAAATATTATTTTCTTTAAAAAGTTTATTTATAATTGTTAGATTACTTAATTTCCATAAAATCTATACATTTAATAAAATCAAACCTTATAAGGTAATACTAGTTTATCAAAAAAAAAAAAAAAGATAGGAAAGGCTTTTATACAAAAAGAACTTAATAATGACTTTTTTGGTAAAGATTTTATAAACTAATGGTATTTGTGTAATTTGTCCTTAACTTTGATTCAAGCATATTGGAGCTTGTTTAACAATTATAGGGTAAAAATGTAATGAATGGTAAGTTGAAGGGGCATATTCGACAGGTTTTGGGAATAACAAAAGAGTGCAATTAAATGGTGGCATTCAACACATTCTTCCGTGTTATTCGGAGTACGTCAACCTAACCCATGCCTCCCTAATTCATTCTTTCACTGTCTGTCCCAATGCCAGCTACCACTCCCTTCAATTCATTCAATAAACAAGTTGCTCAACCCCAAAAACCACATATATACTAGTCTGTATAATATATTATCATTGCTAATTTCTTTAAATCTGTTAAGTTTGTTTTTTAAAAAAATACAAATACTTAGCTTAAATGAGGATTATGAAGTGGCATGAAGATACATTCTGGTCGGGCCCAACGGGGAGCGTGTAGACGTGAACAAAAAGACCGGTATTGGACAGATCTGAAGATGACCGAGACCAAACCAGTCTAAAACGAGACCACACCCAAAAAAGACCGGACGAGCCCTAGACTGTTAGGGACGAGATCAAAAAAAAACTAACTGTTACTAGACTAGTCCCACAAAAGACTGAACCGTTCTGAGACCGTCCAAAGATTGGTCTCAAAAAAGATTGTAAGCGAAATTTTATATACATATAATTTTTGTGTGTAATTACACATTTTTAATCACATTACTAAACTTGTTCCATTCTTTACTTTATTAAATTTTAGTGTATCATTTTTATTATATTTTAATGTATCATTTTTGTGTTAATCTCACATTTGTTAATGGAAAAACTCGAAACCGAAAACACCCCGAAACTGAATCGAAAAAGACACGCAAAAAGACTGCGAGATTGGACCGAAAAAGATCTAGAGGCCCCAAATAGGTTAAAAAACACCGACCCAAGACCGTTTCTGATTGGTCTGGAAAAGACCGATCCGTTTTGAGACATGTCCTAGGGGGAACCTAGGAGACCGTCTAGGGCCCATAGTTAAGAGGGCCCGCAAATTTTCTGTAAATTGTAGGGGAAATCATAAAAATGTTGGTTGAACTCAGAAACGGTCACGGAGATATGATTAACATAGTAAGAGAATAAGGGAATCATCGGGAAAAGTTAAGAACCAAATATCTTTAAAGTCATTTATGCAAATCATAAAAATAATATCTTCGACTTTATTTATTAGTTCTTAAACCCATGCATCGGACAAGTTACTATTTTAGTTATACACATATAACTTTTTTTTTCCAAAATATCTTTAATTTCGTAAGAAGTGTCGCATTTTCTTAAATATCATTTTAATATAAGTTGTTTTTCACAAAATTTCCAAAATCAAAATACTAGTAGAGTTTGTTAATGGAAAAACTCGAAACCGAAAAATAACGAAACCAAAACGAAAACGCCCCGAAACCGAATCGAAAAAGACACACAAAAGACCGCGAGATTGGATTGAAAAAGATCGAGACCGGTCCCAAAAAGGTCAGACTGAAACACACCGACCCAAGACCATCCGATGCTGGTCTGGAAAAACACCGATTTGTTTTGAGACCAGTCCTAGGGGGAACCTAGGCGACCGTCCAGGGCCCATAGTTAAAAAGGTCCGCCAATTTTCTGCAAATTGTTGGGGAAATCATAAAAATGTTGGTTGAACTCTGAAAGGGCAAAAATGGTCATGAAGATGTGATTGACATAGTAGCAGAATAACAGAATCATTGGGAAAAGTTAAGAACCGAATATCTTTAAAGTCATTTATCCAAATCATAAAATAATGTCTTCGAGTTTTATCTGTTAGTTCTTAAAACCATGCATCGGACAAGTTATTATTTTAGTTATAATCATGTAATTTTTTTTTCTAAAATATCTTTCATTTCGCCAATAACTATCAACATTTTCCAAAATAACAATTTTATATAAGTTGTATTAGAGATATATTACCAGAATGGATTTAGTTTGTATATTATTTTTAAGTTTTTTGTATTCCTTATTTATCTTATTGTATTTTATCAGTTATATATAAAATACCGTTCTACCATAATTGGTGGTATGATTTCATATCACTTACATGGTATCAGCCAAATTTTAGGGTTTCCGCCTCCCCCCTCTCCCTTCTTCCCTCAGACCCTACGTCTTTTATGCTCTTGTGAGCACCGACTTCAAGTTTATCACATACCTGGTGAGATTTTCTTTTCATACCCATCATGCTTTTTTCTTCTTTTTCAATCAATGATGTGTCTCTAACCATGGCTACTGTTCTGCACATGATTACAATCAAACTATCATTTCTAGCTACTTGTTGTGGAAGAATCATATGATTCCTATTCTCACATATCATAATCTTTATCCAATGTGGATGGTTCCTCTGT